GGGGGGTGTGCTTTGGGGCTCAAGGATTTTTGGTACCTTAAAATAGCTATTAGCTTATTTTGATTTGATAGAGAGGTCATATGCAAGCTCCGGAAAGTACAGGGAGGTAAATTCTTTAAGCCCAGTGAGACTTCTTCTGGATCAACACAATGTTGAAACCATTGGGAACCAAACTTCATAAACCATTTATAGGCGACTACAAGTTTCAATACACCTCTAGCATTATTATCAAAACTTCACTAATCCAAATGGAATACATTTTTCATTATTAGGAGGACAAGCTTCAATATGCCTCTAGCATATTCTCAAAACTTCACTTATCCAAATGGAATGCATTTTTCATTATTAGGTGCAGTATAGCCTACAAATAGTGTCCAATTGACACAAATCATCTGTGAAGCATACCAACATCTTTTTCCATAGCTGCAATGTTATCTCATGTTGTGTAAGATATGTGATCAAGCTACTCTTTCCAGTTCAGCTGACCTCACTTCTTAGTTCATAGTTTGGAAAAAGAAAGTTTAATTACCTTAATTATATTGCCTTCTTTAAGCTATTTATTCTATGGTGTCTATCAATTTTGAATTTATAACTCTGGTTGGATAGTGGAATGATTGATGGTTTACTATAATCAGTTGAGCCACAAATTTGAGTGATGCCAAAAGTAGGTAAACTCAGTTTTCCAATGAACTGTATCGATTCCTTTCTTGGGCCGTGTAATTAATGCCCAATACATCCAATACGAAATGAAGAGAGTAATTGTTGTCACATAAAAAAGGAAGTAAAATGCTCTGGGTCTAAACTGTGAGTTTGATTGGTGAAAATTGTTTAACAGATGTCAGTAAAAATGACTCCAGATAGGGAAGACCATTCACCAGAAAGTGAGAGAATCCTATCTGGTTTACAGTGAGAACACATGAAATTGGAGCCATCCACCACCTAAAGAGTATTAGTTCAATGTTAAATAAGTGAGGCGTCCTACTAACCTAACAGTAGTTTGCTTTTTTTGATTAGACAGTTGATGAAAAAAATTGTTTGACATGACTGATGGCTTTATAGAAATCATCTTGATGAACTATGCAAAATTTAGCCCAAACTCCATCTTAATTTCCCAGATCCTTTTGTATTGTTGAGCAACTTGGCCTTCTGTTTTATGGCTTCTAGTAGTAGCAGTACTTAGTGAGATTTATCATCATGTATGTCATCTTCCAAAAACAGGGGAAGGAAAAAATACAATGCTAGATTTTCTTCGTAATAAGAATTTCAGACTGCTGAAGTATCTGCTTACTGCAGTGTGAATCATTCATTGAAGAGTTATTAGCATCACACTCAACAGATTTACAGCAACGAGCATATGAACTTCAAGCAGTTGTTGGCTTAGATGCTCGTGCTGTTGAAAATATTATGCCAATGGATGCTAGTTGTGAAGACATTGAGGTAAGGACTTTGCCAGAATCTATTTCATGTTTCTTAACCAAAGCTATTGTTCAAGTTATAAACAGGCTTAGACATATTATCTGGGTTGTCAGATATTCACGTTTTTACCACTTGTCCATTTGATGAGTATTACAGTACGTGCATGCATCTTGTTTAAGGGTGTCGTTACTGATCAATTCTGTTTTGGATTCATCATCAGTAGGCAGAGAGTGTAGTTGAATATAACTGGTCTTGTCAAACCCAAAAAGAAAGAAAAAAGAAAAGAAAAGAAGCTTATTTTGACCGTTTTGAAAAACCATGGGTCTATCTGTTCATAGTAGACCTTATATCATTAATGTTTCCGGAACTTTTGGAAAAAATCGGCATGCTTATTTTTCGGAAAATTTGCGGAGATGGTTCCATCCTCTCTTGCTATTCGGTGTAAGACATTGTTTGAAATTGCCTTCTTCATCTTGGTGCTTCATATCTATCCCTTAGCCTCTTTTCTGGGGATGAGAATGAAAATATTAGGGTGCTGACATATTACCAACTTATTTTCTCGGGTGATGAGAGTGAAAAAGGTTAAGGTGATGATATGCCCTTGTCGTTGATTTGATGTTTTGACCTATTTTTGTTACTGGAAAGATATGAAGCCTACTCTCTGTTTCTTTTTCTATCTTTGTCTTTGTTTAAACTGAGTGCAACTAATATGAAAATTTTCTGCAGGTTGATAGAGAACTATCTTTTCTCAATGGTTATGTTCAAGAGTCACTGAATAAGGGGGCTCAACCCTATATTCCTGAGAATGCGCGATCAGGAGCTTTAACTATCAGCAATTTTAGACATGGAGAACAGCATGGATCCTCAGGACATTCTCTTAGATTTGAAGCCTACGAGCTTCCTAAACCCTCTGTGCCATCAAGACCTTCTCCAGTCCCACCAGTATTCTCAACCGAACTTGTTCCTGTACCAGAACCAACTTATCACACAGAGTTTCATGAAGCTGTTGCACCAAAGTTGTCCGCATCTGGTACAGGCTCATCTGAAATCAAGCTACGACTTGATGGTGTTCAAAGAAAGTGGGGTAAGCAAACTTATTCTTCTTCCTCACCATCTACTTCAGATTCTGATACCTATAAGACTCAGAATGGAGCAACACAGCGTGATGTACCAAGCAGCTTAAGCTCAAAAACACGTGATGTATCATATGAATCCAGAAGGCAACAAGAGGATATTAATCCGGAAAAGCAAAAACTTGCTGCTTCCCTCTTTGGGGGCGCATCAAAATCTGAAAAAAGACCTGCTGGTGCTGGGCACAAGGCATCAAGGCCAAACAGCCATACTGCAGACAAGTCTCATGCAGAAAAGACTGGACCTTCTGATGGAGGTGCTGCTAAAGCAAGTCCCCAACCACCTCCAGACTTGCTTGACTTGGGTGAACCAACTAGTATTAGTAGTGCAACTTCTGTGGATCCGTTTAAGCAATTGGAAGGCTTGCTTGACTTAAACGAAGGTACTCCAGCTCCAGGTTCTAGTGGAGATAGTGCTACTAAAGCGCCTGATTTTATGTCTCTTTATGGGAATACTTCCTTCAGTGGGCAGAATATGATGGGAACGGAAAATCTCCTTTCAACTGCTGCATTTTCACTTGCATCCGACAGAAATGGCCATGGAACAGGTAGTACAGTTACAAATTCAACACAATTAAGTAAGGGCCCGAATCATAAAGATGCTTTGGAAAAAGATGCACTTGTGAGGCAAATGGGTGTGACACCAACGAGTCAGAATCCCAACTTATTCAAGGATTTGCTTGGGTAAAGTACATGGACATGGGTATGTGTTGGAAGTCTATTTAGGCCTTGTAGAGTCTTAGTTGATTGAACTAGATCTGTGGTGCTGGAAAGCTACAAATATATTTGTTGGCAAATTTTACAATTGAAAATACAATTTGCGAGGAGCTAATTGTCCTATGAGCCTGGTATTTCGCGTAGCAGTTGCACATGGAAAAGTTTATGTGAAAATGGTTTCGACTGGTAAGGAATAGGTGAAGCCACTTGAGCTTTTGACTTTGAGGTTTCCAGAGTAAAATGGCTGGCATGTTTTTGGCTCAGTCACGACCATAGGTTTGCCATGTGCTTCAAGACGTATCACAGTTGTGTTTTATGTGGATCTTCCTTTTCCTCTTATCTTATTGAAACTATTCTTTTTGCTTTTTCCTGGAGGCAAACTGTACCATTTGGAGAGGTATTGTACCCTTATATGATGTTGTAAAGCAATAAGCGTTTCTCAGGTTAAATGTTGTAATACTGGCTTTATCAGTTGAATGTGGATTCAGTTCGAAGGCTGCTTTGCAGAAGCTTTGTTATTTCTTGATAGCATGTTTGCCTATATTAAGTCTCTAGATTCATGAAGAAGCTCAATATAATCTGCAGCTTTTCAGTTCTATGTTGAAGGCGCTGCATATATTGGCTTATAAGAAATCCAATTCCTAGACCAATGAGATTGGTTGTATAAGGATCATTTTTTTCTTACAGGGGTTGCTTAATGGAACTTGTTTAGTAGGAGCATTATTATTTGTTTTTTCTTTTGTTTTCCTTAGTCGTTCATGACTAGTGTTGTACAAGTGAAACTATGCATAATTTCACTATTAAAGCTAGAAAACTAAAATAATGATATTTTTGACGAACCAGATGTACTAATGTTTACACTTTACACTAATTGGAATTTCTATGCAACACAAGTCGGTAGAACATGAAAGTTTTGGTCCATCAAGCTTCTTGCCTGGAGATGCTTTAGCATTCGGAACATTGAACGAGAGGATTGTGGGCCAAAATCCAATAATGCATAGACGAGACTCGAGAGGGTTTGAGTTGATATATTTGTTTTCTCCTTTATTTGTTAAACAGAAGCTATAGAAGTTGTATTACATCACTGAATCTTATGTAAGGACACGTTTTCTGACTGTTAGTCGGGGCCAGAGATATGATAAACTGTATTCCAATGGTTGAGGGATAAAACTGTTTTAAGTATTTTCTTTAATACAACAAGGGAAAAGCATTCCTTAGTCTAAGCTAGTTTTTACTTTCACTCGCGAGATAATAACAAACAAAACACATACTGTGTTTAAGTACCTCGAGGGAGGGAGAAAAAAAAGAGATTTTGACTAGGATTCAGCAATGTACTGGTTTTCTTTCTTCCTATTTCGAAAGGCCAATTAGTAGGAAGGCAGAGAAATGAAGGAATAAATCCACGAGAGGAAGATTCAGAAAAGCTTTCAAGGCATTCAGGATAAGAACATATTGACTGTAAATTATATAGTCAACTAGAAGAAACAAGACTTAATTGCCTTTGGAGCTAAACCAGTCTCTATATATAACTCTTTATAATATTAGCATAGAGTAATGCCTATAAGAATGTAATCTAATATTTGAAATTAATTTCTCTTGGTCCTAATGAATTGCAAAGGAAGGTTGTAGCAGGCTTGCAATTACTAACGTACTAGCCAATACGCGATTAATTTTTACAATATAAATAGATATAAAAATTTAGACGGAAAACATGATAAGTGAGAAATTATATATATATTTGAAAATTTTACCTCCTATAGCAAAGGTATACACCCTATTTATTATAAACCAAAATTATTTTAATATTATTTTTTATAGCTACCTTTTATATTTATAGCAAAATAAGTATTTTATGGTATATACTACAATTGAGGCATGAAATAATGCATGTAATACGTTATTTATGTTTTTCCTCTCTCTTAGACAGCTGGACATATCTATTTTTAAGGGATTGCCGTTATTGTATTCATGAATACATGGCGCGAATACATGTGAATACATGTGCGTACAGTTGGACTGCCCTGATTTTAGGCGCTTTTTGCTGCTGTATTCATGAATACATGACGCGAATACATGTGAATACATGCGCGTACAGCTGGACTGCCCCGATTTTAGGCGTTTTTTGCTTACCGTAACAACTGAATAGTAGCTATAGAAAATAATTATTTATATGGTAGCTATAGAAAGATAATAGCCACTAAACAATAGTGGTTTCTGAAAATTCATCTATATTTTTACGAAATGTTCTCGAAGGGACATGAGTGAGGAATTATATATACCCAACTTATTTCGAACCATGAGGTGTTGTTATTGTTGTTTTTGAACATGGTATGGTTTTCTTCAGAATCCAGAGCTTTAAACTGCAAATTATCTACCTTGTCCACAGCCTTTAATATATCCATGACTTTGTCAAACCACCTCGTTACAACGCCCACTTGGAATTTCTAAAACCATGTAATTGACCAAAATCAATCTACAGTTGCTGAGAATAGTGAAGTTGGAAAACAAAAAGCTACAAGTCAATAATATTGTCATAATCATGCTTTAATATATAGGACTGAGAAATCTACAGTTATTTCAAAGTCAAATACTTTGAAATCTCTGTGGTGGTGTAAACTAGAGGAAGATCCTAGGAAGGTCGTTGTTATTGCAGTAATGTTGAATATTTATTCGGACGTTAAAGACATTCAAACTTTCAAGGATTTGTTTGGAAAGTTAAAAGTCCTTTTAACTTTTTTCACCTGTAAATAATTTCCCTTTTGTTGATGTTTTTATTTATTTTGTTTCTAATTGGTAGAGTTCTAATTTTACCTTATAAAAATCATACAATTACCTCATGGAAGATGATATAAATACTACTGTTTATTTGGCTTTACCCATATCATTGGTATATTATAAAACACATTTGCATCCAACAGACACTATAGATGACTGAAATAATTTANTCAAGACAGATGGAGTAGATAGTTGCATCTCAAGGGACCAGAATCATTATTGCTACTTAGTTTTCAGTTTACCAAAACTTTGATAGCTATTCAGAAGCCTTTGTTCCATCCAAATGATGCTAGTTTTTAGTTCATCCATCTGTCACATTATTAATGGTATCACATGCAAGTTATTTATGTGAAACTGAAATACACAGAGAACAGAGCTTGAAAATTGGTTCTCTTTGCCTTTGTCTATGAACAAAACAAAAGTTTACCGATTCTTTTAACCAAAAAAAGGCATGGGGGCATAGACAAGTGTATATATATGTTAGGCTGGCAATAGATTGGACTGAAAGAAGTTGCTCCCTCTTTTGGTTGTTTGGTGACAGGTTTAGACCTAAATGTAGACAAAATAACATATAATTGTTTACGTAAGGTTGACTTTTTATTTTTAATTTTTAATGTTTTTTTCGCTTACGAATTCATAAGGGTTGACATCTGAATTATAAACCATTATCAATTTAATGGGATATTCCGATGTGGTTTAAGGGTGTTTTAACCTATTGTGAATGTGTTCTACATTGGTTAATTGATGTATAAGACCTTATATTAGTCGTGGATAACTTTTTATCTTATGAGCCAAATTTTAGAGTCTAGTAAAACTTAAGGTCCTCTTAACATGGTCCTCTTAACATGATATTAGAGTTAGATTCATCCCTAATCTTATTCACCTAATATTACGTTGAATACTCGTATTATATTTTCCAAGCTTTAATATGAAACATTTTCTCAAAATATAAAACATACACACACTCACTGTGAAACCAGAATTTTTATCGAGATGTGTCAAAATATAAAATTCTTATTTTAATTATATCGTGAAATGCATTGTGAATATAATAAGGTTTTATTTGCTGAAATTATTTTCTTGTGTTAGTTGTAAAAAGAAAGAAGACAAACATCGTCTTACATGAATAAGAGTGCTAAAGAAAAAGTCTTTAGCTGTAAGCCTCTGTTTACATCAAATTCATTTTTCATCTTCTCAACAATACCTAAAAGAACGATAATCTAGCACCATCCTTGTTAATTTCTATTACCACCCTCCAATAATTACCGACAATTATGTTCAATTATTTTCAAATAAGGAAATAAGTCATTATTTTTGACATGGACTAAAAAAAAAATAGTTTCACATAAATTGAAACAGAGGAGTACATTTTTAGTGGTAAATTCATACGTCCAATCTAATGATCGACAGCCACATTTCTGCCTTTTTCCAAATTCATGCTTCTAAAATGACAATAAACATGGTGCTTTTTCTAAAGTACAAATTTTAGTTGCATGCAATTCAACATGAGTCACATCTCCTATGCAGACTATGTCGGAATTAGTCAAATGAAAAATTATGATTATGAAAGAACATGAAGATTAGTGCATTAATCACGACGATTAACGATGCTGAAAGAACCAGTGTTTTAACACTAGTAGTGATGTTGAATATTTGGCGTTGAAATAAGAAAAAACTGATGATAATGCATCTTTATTCTGTAGACACCTGGAATAAACTAAAGTCAGCTAGCCATTCTTGAACACTTAATTATTTTCTTTGTAATTGACATTTGCATTGTGATCTTGAGAAATCTTGATTGTGAAACCCATGTGGGATTTTTCTTTAAGTAGACAAAGAAATTAGGCTTAATCTGTAAGAATTTTTCAAAACACAATGAAGGACGCGTGTTAGCTCTTGCTTAATTACCCCCTGTAAAAGGTGTCAAGAAATTTCTCTTAATAAGATATAATATTAGTTTAATGCATTAAGTGATTATCTACTAAATTTACTGTCTCTTCTTGATGACTAACTCTTAGCATTATTTTATAGATGAATACTATAACAAGTTTATTGAATTAGTGAAACTTTCCAAGAAAATTCTTCAATTTCCTCAAAATTTAATGAGGCTTGGGGCAATAAAAAATGGAAAAAAGGTATAGAGATGAGAAAAACTAGGAATTCACAATGATTGATTAGCCGACTACAAAGTCCAACCCTACATTCATCCATTCAAGTGGGAAGTGCTATTATTTTTTGTTTGATATATCCATTTGATATCTGATATTCACCAAATCGATTAATACAAATTCATAATGTGTAAAGTACTATATTAAAAGGGAAAACGTTTTTCTGCAGGGAATTTCTTTATGAGTAGATGCTTATTCTAAAATGAACTATAAAGTGGCATAATACAAATAACAAATGAAATCAACTGATATACATTAAATGTAATTGCAATTCTATGAATCTCATGATGTCGCCACCCGTCAAGTTTATAAGCCTTATCGTTTTCGACAATCAACATAAAAACAAAAAGGTTATAAAAGTTTTATGCAAGTATTGGAGAGAAAACCATTCTATTTTATTCTTGTCATGGTTGTGAAAAAGGAACCAAGAATTTTCTTTTCTTTTCTGGTAAACCAAGAAATTGAAAGATATGACATGTACGCAGCGCTTGTATCTTTTTCTTGTCATGAATCATGCCGAGATTTTCATACTAGTGATCTAATGCGAGCCACGTCTCAAACTTTTTCTTTTTCTTCAAAATCTTG